CATCATCATCATCATCATCATCATCAACGTCATCGTCATCGTCATCGTCATCGTCATCATCATCGTCATCATCATCATCATCACCACCACCACCATCATCATCATCCTTCCTCTCCACGGGGGCGCAACGCCCGCTGCAGCGGCCACGGCCCAGGCAAGAGAAGGCGCCCGAGGCAAGAGAAGCCCCCGCGAGCGCGCCTCCTCCTCCGCCTCCTCCCTATCCTCCTCACTCCCCCTCCTGATCCTCCGCTTCCTCATCCTTTTCTTCCTCGTCCTCATCCTCCCTCCTTCGCCTCCTCCATCCTCCCCGCCGGCGTGGAGACCAGGTGTTTCGGCAACACCTTCTTCACGGCGGACCTGCCGCTGCCCTGAGACCCCAGGCTTGGCGCGGACGAGTGACCTTCCGGGGAAGCGCCGCCGCAGCGGGACAGCTTGGGGGCAGGACGGAGAAGGGAGAAGGAGGAGGAGGAGAGGAGGAGGGAGGAGGAGGAGGAGGAGGAGGAGGAGGAGGAGGAGAGAGGGAGGAAGTGTAAGAAGAGGAGGAGGAGGAGGATAAGGAGGAGGAGAAAGAGGAAAAGGATGAGGAGACGGAGGAAATGCAGGAACAGGAGGAAGAGGACCAGAGTAAAGCCAAAATGAATCAGCGATGCTGAAGTTTACCATCCCGTCCAAAGTAAGCGAGATCCCCGCTTTCGAAAAAAACACTCTCTATCCGTGCCGCTGCGACATATGATGCAGCTTATGTTTGATACCATGGAAATCTCAAGCGATGGCGCTGTTCTAGAAAAATGATCGAGCGAAAGACCCAACCGTATGCAGTTGCGAACTACGCAATTGTGTATATCGCCTTCGGTGGAGCCCCCTTGTGTGACCACGACACGTGTGAGGGATGTGCCTAAATGGGCGTGGTGCGCATGCGAACGCAGCCACTGGGACCTTCGATGGAGCTCCCTATGGGCCCACGAAAAAATGCAAACGCAGCCACTGAGGCCTTCGGTGACGCTCCCTGTGGGGCCGCGAAACGTTTGATCGATGTACCGAAACGCGCGGGGCAGACGCATGCGAACGCAGCCGCTGGGGCTTTCGGTGGCGCTCCCTATGAAACGACGAAACGGACAAGGCTGCACCGATATAGGCGGGGCGGGCGCATGCGAACACCGCCACTGGGGCCTTCGGTGGAGCTCCGTGCCAGGCCAAAAAACGTGCAAAGGGTGTGCCCACATAGGTGCAGTCGGCGCATGCGCACGCAACAATTCGGGCCTTCGGTGAAGCTCCCTACGGGGCCACGAAACGTGTGCGGACCGTACCGACATAGGCGCGGTGGGCGCATGCGAACGCAGCCTCTGGGGCCTTCGATAAAGCTCCCTGTGGGGCCACGAAAAGTGTGAGGGGTGTGTCGACATAGGCGCGGTGGGCGCATGCGAACGCAGCCACTGGGGCATTCGGTGGCGCACCCTATGGGGCCGCGAAACGTGTGATCGATGTACCGAAACGCGCGGGGCAGACGCATGCGAACGCAGTCACTGGGGCTTTCGGTGGCGCTCCCTATGAAACGACGAAACGTGTAAGGGTGCGCCGATATACGCGGGGCGGGTGCATGCGATCACTGCCACTGGGGCCTTCGGTGGAGCTCCGTGCCGGGCCAAAAAACGTGTGAGAGGTGTGCCGACATGGGTGCAGTGGGCGCATGCGAACGCAACCATTCGGGCCTTCGGTGATGCTCTCTACGGGGCCACGACACGTGTGCGGACTGTGCCGACATAGGCGCGGTGGGCGTATGCGAACGCAGCCGCTTGGGCCTTCGGTGGAACTCCCTGTGGGGCCACGAAACGTGTGAGTGATGTACCGAAATGGGTGTGATGGGCGCATGCGAACGCAGTCACTGGGGCCTTCGGTGGCGCTCCCTACGGGGCCACGAAACGTGAGGGGTGTGTCGACATGGGATCGGCGGGCGCACGCGAACGCAACCACTCAGGTGTGCGGCGAAGTCCCCTACGGAGCCACGAAACATGTGAGGGGTGTGCTGGCAACCGTGCAGTGGGCGCATGCGAACGCAGCCACTGGGACGTTCGGTGGAGCCCCCGATGGGGCCACGAAACGTGTGAGCGGTGTGCCGAAATGAGTGCTGTGGGCGCATGAGAACGTAGCCACCGTGGCCTGCGGAGGAACCCCCTGCCACGAAACGTGTGAAGAAAGCGCCGAAATGAGTGCGGTGGGCACATGCGAACGCAGCCACTAGAGCCTTCGGCTGAGCTCCCTAAGGGGCTACGGAACGTGCGAGGGGTGTGCTGAAAGGGCTGACTGGTGCTGAGGGCAGACTCAGGGATGGGAAGAGGGAGGAGGGAGAGGATGAGGAGGAGTGAGTAAGTGAGGGAGACGCGGGGCGTTTTCTTTTTACAACAAGTACCCAACACCACATAATGGTTGGGAGCAGACACAACCACCAAAAAAACACCCAAAAGACGGCAAACACACATACACACACACACACACACACACG